GAGGGGAGCGTAACTTGTCTTAATTGGGTCTCATCGGATGGAGGTAGCACTAATGTGTCAGCTGTCAATGAGGGAGTTGCGGTTGAGATACTAGGCCTTGGAGTTCCTGTCCATCCAGGGGAATGGGCGTAAAAACCCTTGTCTGTCCCTCTTCTGCCATCCTTGGGGTGCCGGGGGTTGTCCGCTCGTTCCGGTAAAAAAGTGACGTCCGCACTGACGGGGCCTCGGCTGCCCCGAGGAGAGGGCAGGGAAAAACCCGGGGAACGAGGGGTGAACCTCTTGTGCGTCCCGGAAACGAAAGAAGCCACTGAGCGTCGAGGGTTATCCACTGGTTCTGGTGGTGGCATAGCTTCCGCACCAGGTGTGCCCCGACTACTCTCAGGGCATCCGTCGTTTGCTTCATCCAGTTTCTGTTGTTGGTCCATGTTGGTGATTGAGCATTATACGTCCCTAAATCGTTCGTATAGAGTTGTGTAGATTCGTTGCTTGTTTGTTGGTGTCGATTACTTTTCTCCTCATTGTCGATATTGCTTGTTTCAACGTTGGATAAAATATCACTGACGTTTGCAGATCTTATTTTGAGGGGTTGGTTAACTTTGGGATCGATCGGCGAACGCAAGCGTTTACAAGATCTGCTTCTCGGTTTCTCGTTTCTCTTGTGGCCACGGTTACGGCTACGGCTGCGGCTGCGACTTTTACGGGGCTTGTTTTGTTTCTGTTGTTGCTGTTGTTGGAAGTCTTTGTTGTTGGCCTTGCTGGAGTGACTGGACTCTACTGCCTTCCGGTTTCCTTGAGCAAGGCTAGGTATTGCTGATATATTTCGTTAAGCTGGCTCTTCGTCGTTCTGTACAGATTTTTGTACATGTTCAGGTCATGCTGAAGTCGGTCCGTGATAACTTGCTGGTCTTGTAGCTTTTTATTCCATTCGTCTTTTTGTTCCTCCATTTCCTTATCCTTTTTGTTTAAACGCTCTTCCATTTCCGCCAACCTCTTCAGGATTTCCTGATTTTCGTTACTATTGCTGATGTTACCTGCTTGTCCTGGATACTAATTTGGTGAGCTCGTTCCTTAATTTTTGTGGTAATTCTATCGTAAATATTTTTTTTTTTAAATCATTAAATACGCGTCAATCAAATTTTGCGCTACTGTTTTATAGAAAGTTTCAGTACATCAGCGGGGCTTATTGTAAGCAAAATCTTCGGAAGCATGCGAGCTTGAAATGGGCTAATGGGTATACGGTAGAGCTATCACCTTCGAACTCCAGAGTTCAAACTTTTTGCAGTCATAAAAAAATGGTTACAGGTAGATTTTATACATAATACCACTGCCAGACAGGAGTGTGATTGTAGATACATACAGTACATACAATAAATGAACGAATGAAAAATTGCATCAGTCAAATGTGTCAAAATTAGTCTGTTTTTTTTTATAAAATATTTATTCCAATCCTAACATATAAACATGTCTTACAAGCTACGCTATTCTAAACTAATTACAGGCATTTATTTCTAAGAAAAATTTGAAGCTAGGCAAGGAGATCATATGTCGTTCTGTTTCCAAAATATATTGACTAAACTGAACAAATTTTCTTAGAATCATAATTTTGTCATCCCTGCTAAACTCTTCTAAGGTTGGAGCTATCAAACTGGAAAAGGTTAAGAAGCGCATTAAACGAGGATCAAATCTGTTTAGTAAATGTCTAATAAAATAGTTCCATGACTGATTGACCGAAAAACGTTTACAAAATATATGCTCAAGATCTTCGAGGAATCCGCATGATAAGCAATTAGGGTTGTCAGCAATACCTATGCGATACAAATGAGCTCTGTGATCAATTTTCCTATTATAAAGTAAATAAAGAATAGATTTTTCATTTGAGTTCAGGTTCTTTAAGTTAATATTATTCCAGACACGTGGCCAATTGTTTTGTTCTTTAGTTTCAATAGTTGGTCTAGGCAATAATCCAATTTTATCAGAATATAGTTTTGTCATAGAAAAAGGTTGTGTTAGATCATGTTCGTAAAACAAATTCATGAAAGAAGGATACATATGTGGTAATATAGTTACAGGTTTCCTAATGACTACTGACTACTGATATTAGGCAGAATATAATTTTTCAACAAACACTTGTCGGTCGAATTAGGATTTATCCCAGGCTACTATTGTAGAAAAACGTAATTGATAGATATTGGGCGGAACGCGTCGGAATGTTTAGAAAAATAGGGCGCACGCTTGATCCGGTTTAAGATACATTGTTGACTGCTTTCGGGAACGTGATTTCATTTTAATAACTTACTTGTTTGACCAGGGCTTAAGCAATCATCACGCCGGTCATAGCTTGTTATGATAGCCTGAACAATGCGTAAAGAGCAAACCGCGAAACATTGAACGTCGCGTGAAAGTGGAACTTAATGAAGGCCTAAGTGCTTTTTCGTAACTTTTAGTTTTCGGATTAGAAAAATCATCGGTTGCAGGACAGTGTTACCGATTGATATTGGATAATCGAAAGCTATGTTGATCATTATAACATTAAATTTTGAATAACAAATGATAAGACAATCTTATTTAAATGTCGTAATAATACCTCTGACCAAGGAAAAATGATTTATATAGTTTTCATAAAAGTTGACGATACAAATACTAATGAGGAAAGGAATTCCGCATTTCCTTTTCCCAAGTCCTTGTCCTCTCCTTCCCTTCCCTTCTTCTCTTTTCAGAAAGCGAGTAATGGCGCTATAACCATATGCCATATAGGGCTAGGATAAGAGTTAGTGCTCAGGTCCCAACCGCTAGAAGAAAATGGTAGCGAGCAAGGGCGCTATAACCTAGGCGAATACAGCATTCCCTCCGTATAGGTTACGTCCGCACACCGCTCTCTGTTGTCCTTCGACTGAGGTCGGCTGGATCGATTGAGGGATGGCAGTGGGTTGGCGGTGCCGTCCACGCTTGTACGGAGGGAGGACTGTACGCTCGAACACAAGGGGTAAATACCTGTGTTCCATCCCAGGATATCGGACAACCAAGGAGTGTACATTAACTTTCTTAGCTCTGTCACTCCCAACGATTTATATAGCCTATTTTCAAATCCTGCATACGGAGCGGTTGGTACGGTATGTCCCCGCTCTTTGATTACCTGTGGATTAAATGTTAACCACTGTCTATACTTATTAAGTAGACATGGTAAACATTCACTCCCACAAAAATTAACTAAACGCTACACAGTAGGCCTGGCCGCTTTATTGTTTGTTTCACATCCTTGATGTGCAGCAGGCATTAATAATGACAAGAAAAATGATAGATGTATCATTTTCCAGGATTCTTTCAAGTACTGGCTGTGTATGTGTAGACTAGACTAGACTAGACTAGACTATTGCTGATGTTACCTGCTTGTCCGGATTGTGAAGAATTGTGCCTTTGCTGGTAGATCTTCTTCGCCGCGTCATATGACAATCCCAGATCAATTCGTATTTTGGCGATTTCATTTTCGGCCACGTAAACTGGACACTTCCTACTCTATGCAGGGTGTTCAGAAGACTTGCATTTGGGGCAATGTGGTGCAAAACGGCAGGTGACTCCTCGAACCACTTCGTGGTCACCAGCGCACATGCCACAGATTTCTTTTTTCGCGCAGCGCAGTTTTGTATGTCCAAACTTCCAGCATTTGTAACACTGCATGGGAGCAGGATAATATGGCCTGGTTTGTACACGGAGGTATTCGAGGTATTCCGGGTAATTCTCCGAACAGAAGATATGCCTTGCCCTGCTAGGATGTCTTTTACTTCCTCCTCGGTAAGATCTACCACTTCGTAGTTGGGAATCGGATGCTCTTCGATGCTGATCGTAGTGTGATCGTACAGTTCTTTCAAAGATTTCAATTTATCTACCTGCTCTGGTCTTCTGACTTTCAGGGCGTAGCGGATTCCTCGATTTTCGGGAAATGCACGCTCGATCAGTCCGCAACATTGCGTTACGGATAGACTAGCCACAGTCGGATTTTTTGGTAGCACAGCTGGTTCAACTGGTTCTAGTCGTAGGATTGTCAGTGGGCCATGAACGTTTTGTGGGTCCATCCATTCGGGAACTGTACGTCCCCTGTATGATCCATCAATGGTATTACAACCCGTTGCTCCACCACCAGGATCCCCATCGAGAGTAAAGTCCCATCCCGACTTCATAGTCGAGATGGCATGGGAAGGTACCGAATGAACAGAACCGATGGTGAAAACTGCCTGTAACTCTGCAGCATAAGTTCAGCGAATGCGTACGCGTGGAGCCAGCTTGGAGACTGCTGCAGCGGAAGATAACGATTATACTCAATGGATGGCGTACACTCTCGATAGAAGAACTATAAAGGCCGCAACTGGGGAACATAGAAAGAACCAAAAAACATAGAATACTCAAATTGTTCATAAAATATGTCACCTTTGTTATGTTGTGTAATAATGTTATTGACGTAGCCTCATTAGAATTCGAAGTTTGAATAATTATTTTGTAATTACTTTTTAAACTTTCTGAAAAATAAACAAATTGTACATGTAAAAAAACAGCTCCTTATTTATAAATACATAAATAAATAAATAACTAAGGTTCTTTAACTCGATATCGGGAAGTAGAGATTTGACTTTAAATAAATAAATAAACTCTCTATTCTCTGTTCTTGTCTCAAACTCTATTCTTAAGTATTGATTTTAAATTGAGGTGTCAATTTAATTTCTAGATTCTGGAGTTTTCATTATTGATTGTCAATACCTAATACGGAGGGATTGATTTTTTAATTTTCGTTGCACAGTTCTTAATTTACGTCCTTGTTCTCGTCTTGTCTTGATGCATTGTTCTGGATTTTTTTAGTCTTAGCTTCTCGGTGTATTGAACAAAATGACTAGGTATAAGGCTTGTCTGAATCAAGTGTGATGAAAATTGCTTTCCATTCATGTAAAATATCAATCTGTAGAGTTTTTTATTATTATTATTTTCATTCGTATTTATAATATCTAAATATTATTCAGTACCGGACGCCAAAATGCAAAATAAAAAAAATCTAAACACTTAAGAAAAAGATTCGAAAAACACTTGAACAGTACCTGACAAATTGCTACCCAGCGTGCTCCACAACGAACGGTACCAGCCTAAATACGGATCTCTATACAATAATTTTATTCGTAGCGCAATAAAGCGCAAATTCTCGGCATCTCTTAACAACAGCAACAGCGAATCGACGTCGTTTTCCACCTTGGTCTAAATGCTACCATCCTCAACAACTATCTGACCTATTGTCGTCCTCCCTCTCATCCGCTGCTAGGTGGGGCAGTTTCGCAAGTATTCCGAATCGAAGTACACAACCGTGATGGTTATGTCGTCCCGGAACAACCGGACAATGTCCTGCGGCAGTGACAGCATGTGCGACAGTTTCGAGTGCTCCACGCCGTAATCGGTCCCTCCCAGCGAGTTCCGTATCAGATGCGTGGCGGCGTTCCGGTCCAGCGGTTTCTTCTGCAGTCCCGCCTTACGGGTGCTCAACATTTGACTAATCTCACCCAGCGTGATTTCGTGCTTTGGCAGTTTCAGCGGCTGTAGGAAGGCTTTGCCGTGCATGTGTTCTCCCACCAGGTGGACGGTCTGCATCGGGCTCATCGTGTCCCACAGGCCATCGCTGGCCAGTATCAGGAACTTATCCCTGGGAGTAAGTATGTGATGGGTAATTTCCGGACAAGCGCTCAGATAGGGCGGAGTGAGATAGTACGGAGCGATGACCTGCTCGCCGAATTGCGGAACGACCAGCTGTTCCAGTTGCTCTCGGGACCACTTGTAGCGGAAATCTCCCATGGCACGAAGTGGAGCCAACTGTCCTAGGAGACGTTCACCCCGGATTACCGTGTCCCGCTCTGTGGCCGGGTGTTCATTCAGTAGCCGACGAACCTCGCCGACGTTGTCGCTGTTGTGTTCATTGGTGAGCTTCTTGGCGATCCACTGACCTGATTGTAAAGGATTGATCAACGGATTATGTGAACAAAACAACGGTTCAAGCGATCCAGCCCTCACCTGTATCGGTAACCGTTCCGAGTACCGCGCTACAATCTCCTACCGAGGAGATATGCAGATGAGGACCATCGATGTGTGCCACCAGCGCCACGGCACCACTCATCGCCACCGACATCGTTCTCAGGCTGGGATGCTCCACCGCTTCCTTCGACAGATCTTGATCCAATCGCAGGAAAGCATTTTCCAACACCTGGTGCATCTGAAATCCAGCTAAAGTCGTGTCCAACAACTCGTTCGCAAATAGATTGAAGCTCCTTTCGTAGATGTCTTTGATCTCGCTAACAAATTCCAGCTAAAAATAAACACACATCACTTATTGATCCCTTCCCTCTGCTGTTTCACCATTAATCCTCAAACCTTATCGTTATGGCAGTTGATAAATGAATGACTCTGGGCCCCGTTCAAGATGTGCACCTTCAAATCGTCCGGAGGAACCAATGAAGCGGCAACGTAGCGCATTAACCGCTTGCTAATGACCTGGGAACAAGCGGGACCCCCATGGCCGTCGAAGATACCCAGCAACAGGCCCGAAGTGTGCACGCAGGTTCCCTCGGTGCGGGAATCCTCGATCGGCGAGTTCGAAGCCAGTTGATTAGAGTCGTAGCACTTTACCGAACCACCCGCAAAATCCTGCGTGTGCTCGTTTGCCCTAAGGATACAGTTGACCTGTAAAGTACATAATTTTAAATTCAGTTATAAACCAAACTTTCCTACCCATCGAACCCACCGTGTCGCTACCATCATTGTAAACATTGATAATCGACCCCGACGTATATTATATGCACATAGATATACGACGATGAACAAGGTTAGGTTGTCACCGAAGTTGAAAGGATTCTCTCCTTCCTTATCATTGCATACTTACATCATACGGGGACAGTTTCGGCGGCCCGGACGGACGGTAGTGGGACACAGCCTGATGGAAGCTTCGGTAACATGCTGCCGTCAGCAGATGACTTCGCTGGACCAGCAGTTTTTGCACAAAATTAGGCATTCCCCGATTGGTACCTAACTGTATAATCGGAAGAATCTGTTGAGTAACCGCGAGCGAGTTTTGGGCACCCGCTGCGTGAGGAAACCCGCGAATAAAATAAAAACCTAGACTGCACCGCACTGTAATTGCACCAGCTGTTTACATAATTTGACCTTGTTGACAACGGGACACGAGTTTTCTGTAGATTTTCACGACTTTTCACCGCGAATCTTATCACGAATGCGTAAAAGTTCAATATTCAATCAACACCATCAGGAACATCACCGTTTCGAACTGTCAAAACTTTGAAAAAGGAAAACATATGGTGCACTGCACTAAACAGCGGATTGAAATTTATCGTTGGGGGTGTTCAAGTTTTTTCGCCTGCTAAATAACAAAACACCGAAATTAGCATGATCTGTTGAATATCAAGTACGTTAACATTAATGCAGGGGCAAACGTGTCAGAAGGGTATAACTTGAAACGTAAACAATGACTTTGAACCTCGATTTCTCTTGAATGACCACACACCCACGGAATCTGACTACACCAGCTCATAGAGCAGACATTTCTCTGTCAGATCAGGCGTAACATTTGATAATGGCACAAAAGCTTTTGTAAACAAAAGTTGTAAGGCCCAATACACGCGAACCAAAGAACGCCCACGTAAACCAACAACATCATCGGCTGGGGGAAATTTTCCCCTTTCCGAAAATTGTATTGGTTTGCGTGGACGTACTTCGGTTCGCGTGTAAAGGGCCTTACAACTTTTGTTTACAAAAGATTTTGACGTAGGACTACGTCTTTGATTTCTATATGGGGGTACACTTTGTGAAAACCGAAAATGAAACATGTAACAAATTAAGAAAGATTTTGAACGTTAATAACTCAGCTGCCCCTGGTCCAATTTCAATAATTTTATCACCAACCCGCATAAACGCGAACCGTAAATTGACCTTACCTAAAATGGTTAAAAATTGTTTATAATCCCTGTCAAACTTTAACTGAAATGGTTATGGAACTTTACATGAACGTTTAATGATAAAGTTTCAACCTTATGTATTATGGTTTTTTGGAACTGGACCTTACAAATAATAGGTTGTTAAGAACCATTACCATTCCAAATACTTGTTTTCTCCATACATTTTCAGAAAGAGAACTATATAAGAACGTTTTTACTTATGATTTGAGAACATTAATGGTAATGGTTATGGTAGTCAGTAAGGTCCATTAATGGTTTTGTATTATCGCTCAACTTTACGAGGAATATATCGTGAATTGGTAATCAGTAAATTACAGCAACCAATTCGGGATATATTCCACATAAAGTTGATCGATGTTACAAAACCATTCGTGGGCCTTACTGACTACCATAACCATTACCATTAAAGTTCTCAAACCATAAGTTAAAAGGTTCTAATATAGTTCTCTTTCCGAAAATGTATGGAGAAAACAAGAATTTGGAACGGTAATGGTTCTTAACAACCCATTATTTGTAAGGTCCAGTTCGAAAAAACCATAATACATAAGGTTGAAACTTTATCATTAAACGTTCATGTAAAGTTCCATAACCATTTCAGTTAAAATTTAGCAGGGATTATAAACAATTTTGAACCATTTTAGGTAAGGTCAATTTATGGTTCGCGTTTATGCGGGAATCGATCAGGAAAATGGCTACGCATCGATAACAATGCTTTCGAATGTTGATTTTCAACAAGAAACTATTGAAAACTGGTAAATATCCAGCATTGTTCAAAAGCGTCGAATTAACTAACAAATCCACCAATTACCTGCATGCATATGCTGCTTCTCCAGCACAGTCGTCAGAGAGTAGTAAGTAAACGAAACAAGTCGAAGTGGCATTCGCCTCCGCTACTCGGGCGCGTGCGAATAGGGAGGATGGAATTGCGTAATATTTTGCACACTCATCGCCATATTCAGAACCAAACGCAAATTCTTGGAGATAACTACCATCCATCGTCTGGCTCGCAGTGGCGGTGTCTGACGTATCTCCGGTCTGATTTACGAGGTGTGCTGAAGGTGTTCCTGAAAAATGAGATCCGTGATGCTGCGTTTGGACCCAGGCTTGCTAGGGTGAGAGGTAATCACGCTAACCACCGGCGCCGATATCTTTCAAGGTGATATCACGGCGAATGAGATTGACCCAAATTTGAGTTTAGTTATCTCAGAAATAATAAATAAAGTGCAGGAACTCAGCGATGAGTAAATTTTGTCTCATGTTTTCCTAGGTTTTTCCTGGATTTTCCAGGGAAAAATTCCCGAATTTGAGAAAAGTAAATATTGGATTCACTCAGTCTATTGGTACTACTCCGAGACTGAATAAAATTTTCGTCAATTTCCTCATTTTCTGGCAGATTTTTTAGATTTTCCACAGGAAACCATGAGACAAATTTATTCATCGCTGAGTTCCTGCACTTTTGGCGATTATGAGTGAACAAATCTCAAATTTGGGTCGTTCTCATTCGCCGTGTATGCCAAAGGAAAAGAGCCAGTGTCGATACTTGATAGCAAACTACTCATAATGGGAGGAGTCTTTGTAGCTTTTATACCACTTGGTTGCACATCATTCTGTTTTAACCTGAAAAGATATAAAAGAGCGCTGCTGTATGGCATTAGTTCATTTTCGCTTCGGACGGCGAGGTGAACAGCAATAGCAGTAGTAGGAAAGTGATGGCTAGTCCACTCCTTCACACCCAAAAGGCAACAATTGACTGGTCGTGGCAAAGGAGGAAAAGGTCTGGTAAAGGAGGCACCAAGCGTCATCGCAAAGTTCTTCGAGATAACCGCCATCGGTCGTCTGGCTCGCCATGGCGGTGTCAAACGTATCTCCGGTCTGATCGATGAGGTGTGCTGAAGGTGTTCCTGGAAAATGAGGTCCGTGATGATGTCACCTACACTAAATACGCCAAGCGTAAGTGGCCATGGATGTCCTCTTCAATAAAACGGCTTTTTTTAGGGCCATCAAGCTTACATCAGTAAAGAGTTGGAATAGAATTTATCTGTGCTTGTTTGTCCATATTCAGAACCACAAGCCCCCAACAACCACACAAAATGCTCTCCAGAGTTGTAATCTTGTAACCAAACTTGGAAGCAGGGGTGCAAGTGATTTTGATTGATTCTCTTTGAAAAAAATTACTACAAATTTGGTACGCCTACAATTCAAAAACGGAAAGAGTTGAGATAATAGAAAATTGATCAATTAAAAGAACTAAATGCTCTTCACATTTATTCCGTACACTAGCGGTCCTACGTCAAGCATCCGTTCGTGCCCCTAGGCACAAACCCTTCTATTTTTGTGCCGTTATCAAATGTTACGCCTGAGATGATATAGTTAGTTTGAGTGGGTGTGTTGTCATTCGTAAGAAACCGACGATCCAAGTCATTCACGGAAAAACGAGTCTATGCATTAATGAATATTTTTCAACCACTTTTGGGAGCTTGTTCGAGCTGTCATAGAGTGGTTTAAATGTATAGCAAAAAAGTGTATACAATTTAGACATTTCAGGGGAAAACCATTTTTCAACAGAAGTGTTTAAATTTTATTTTTATTTTATTGGCTGAAAAAAAACTTGACAACAATCATTTTTAGAAAACGCGGCAGCCATCATTGATCAAGTTTTCGCAGGTAGATATATATTTTTTATAGTATAATAGATACAATTTAATAGTAATTTATCATTCTCTTTTCATTTCCAGAGTTCGGTGAGAACTACCAGAAGAAGCAATCAACGTCGCCAGCAGTGGGAATCAGGAATTGCTACTTCCTTCGCAATCGAGTGGCGGACCGAAAATGAAGTTTTTTCCGTTTCCGACTTTGGAGAGATGGAAACAACTTTCAATGGAAAAGCAATCACTAAAATGACCTTTCCCAACATGATTTCCGGTTCATTACAGTCTTTCCCAAGCAGTAAGTACTACTGTAAATATTCTTCTTGCCATGGTATTAACACCACAATGCGTCGATTATAGACTGAATCAGACTAAATCGTCCTCCTTTCAGCAGGCTGAAACGGTTTTACAACATCATCGGCATGGCAAGGTATCATCGCGGATGGACCACTGGCGGAGCACCGACCGATAAAATCAACAAGACTTCGTCTACACCCACCGCGGGTTTGGCTGACTGCGGGATCATCTGTGATACAAAGCATGATCCATTTCATCGATATACTGCAGAACGTCGTGGCGCAAATAGTTCCGGCCAATGGAAATCATGTGTGGCCCACGATCATGTATGCCCACGATCATCAGATTTTATTAATAATTGTGCACCTGTGTTTATTCATCAAGAAATACACATAACTTTTTATTGGTTTTTATTTTATTGCTATTTTAATAAATTATTTTGAAAATATGAGAAATCAACCATTTAAAATCCTTCCGGTGTATAAAATTTAACCACTTTTGAGAAAAACGTCTTTATTCATTAATGATTAAAATTTAATCACTTTCGAGAAAAACGCGTTTATTCATCCGATGAGTAAACAGCGTTTATTCATTATGAATATGTGCGGGTTTTCTCGAAACTGTTTAAAATTTAAACATTAATGCATACTTTTTTCTTAGCGTGTTGTTTACGTTTCGAATTAGAGCCTTCTGACATGTTTCCCCTGAATTGTTAAATTTAGGTACAGGAGAAAAAAAATAATTCAAGCAAAACTATTCAAATCGACGCATCTGATTTTGTAAACAATCACTTCATTCAGCGATTTGTGGCAACTGCAAGCTCACTCACACGAAACTAACAACACTACCCTAATAAACGGGTACCATACACTAAAAACGTCATAGATGGTACGACCATACCACATAAAGTTGAGATGATATCCCGAATTGGTGGTTAGGCTCCTCTAATGGTTATTGTTTATGCGGGTAGCTAGTAGACGAAAGTGTATCCTACCTGATGATGGTGTTCGTTTGCGTGTGTGAGTTAGCAGTTAAGACTCGAGTTAAGACAAATCATCGATTGAAGAGATTGTTTACAAAAGCAGATACGTCGATTCGAATAGTTACGCTTGAATTTCTATTTTTAATGATACAATGCTCACACAATGAATATTAATCTTATGAGATCACATTTGTTTCTCGAAAAAATAAATATTTTTTTTATTTTAAAGATGCTTAACAACCTCGTTAACAACCCCCCTTTTTGAACTGTAAATTCAGGGGAAACATGTCAGAAGGGTCTAAATCGAAACGTAAACAATGACTTGGATCGCCGGTTTCTTACGAATGACAACACATCCACTCAAACTAACTA